GTATGTGGTGCTGAGGATCGAACCCGGGCCGCACGCATGCCAGGCGAGCGCGCTACCGCTTGAGCCACATCCCCAGCCCAAAATGCAGTTCTTTAATCATTTCATAATTTTGTGATTGGTCTATTTCTTCTAATAGTGTGTTTCTACAGCTATTTATTTGAGTATGTTAATTATTTGGGTTGGGGAGAGGAATAATAAGGGTCTTTTAAGATTGTTATGATGTAATCTCATTACTATGAACTCTAAATGTTGCAAAAAAAAGAATATACATGCAATCTATATTAATTTAACAATCTCAGAAAGGAATAAGGAGTCATCAAGAAGACTAGTTGAAATTGAAACTTTTATTGTGCTTCTTTAAAATATTTGTTTTGTTAAAAAATTTATTATCATTTTCCCCTTAATTTTCCTAATTAACTCTTTCAACAACTGAGTGCTTACTAAACACTGTTTTAGGTGTTGAGAGTATAGCTGCAGATATCATGGACAAAAATCTTGGCCCTTGTGGGATTAACATTCTAATGAATCCTAATTAATTAGGTGGGTATTATTGTTATTCAAAAGCTTGTTACATGCATGAACTTACTGAGCTTTCTACAAAAGACTCAAGTAGTCATCCATTTCAGTCTTGCTAATAAAAGCACCAAAATGAGTATTTTAGGATTGATTCCAAGGGGAGCATCATGCAAAGAGAAGTGATAATCCCCCTTTTTCTAGATTTGACCTCTAAGAGAGTGGGGCCAGCTCTGAGAAAAGCAACAAGGAAAATGGAGAAATGAGCAGGACTGTTCAGAGCAGGATAGTGATTATGTTCTTCTATTTACCTATGAAAACATTCTAAGAGGCAGAAGGGAAAAGTATCTTTGCATCTGGTCTAGGAGAAAGGTTTCATTCAAAACAACATCTGAAACAAACAAACAAATACCCCAAAATCTAGTCTTGGCCAATTTGGGTATTTTGAGGATAGGGTAAAATTTTAGGCAGAGTTGGCCCTACTTCCAAATAAGAATAATCCCAAGTTTGGGCCTTTATCTCCTCCCACCTCCCATCTACTCCTTTCTCCATCTGACTAATTTGTGTCATTGTGTGGGGGAAAGAACGGGTGGTCTGTTCTGTTGACCTGCACTTACACTGCTACTCTGCTGTTTGCAATTGATGTGAGCATGAACAAATACCTTACTGAGCCTCCACTCTCCCACCTACAAAGTAAAGATAAAAATACCAAACTCAGAAGGATTAAATATAACACATGCAAAGATGCTCTGAAGCAATTAATAACAAGAATTAGCACAACAGGTAATACTTTTTTAAGCAATGAAAATAAAACTCTGAGAAACACAGTAACTCTCTCTATCTGAAGTTACTCTCAGTCTGTGCCTTAGATTACACCACACGTGAAGCTGACTCCTTTCCCTGCAGAGAGCCCTTCTGAAGCCCAGCCTGATCTGATGCCCGGTTACTCACTCTTGCCAGGCTGGTCCCAGATGGAACTTTGTAAGGGACATACTTCCTGTAGATATGACCAACTCTAGAACAGGGAACATCAAACATTTCTCCTCCACACATCCAAACCTAAAGAGGGGAAAGTACAATAAAAGAGAACAGTGAATTTCAAAAAGGATAATTCAACATAATAATTCATAAAGGAATTATTAACGGGATTCATATAAGAGCATAAAACTCTCTTAAAGTTGATCAATGAATAATTTCTGTTTTAAGTGGCTAACCAAGAAAACACTTTTAAAAATAAAAAAAATTAGAGTTTTATAGTTATAGTAGTTGCGTTTTTCCTGACAAATTCGTACCTGCATGGAAATCGATTTCAGTTCATGACCTGGCTTTTCCATTCCCTTCTCCCTCCAGTCCTCTCCCCTCCCTTCTACTTCTTCTACTCAATTAGATTTCATTTTGCTTTCTATTAATTTGTATTGGATTGGCCCTTTATGTAATATTATCCTCCCCTCCTTTTTCTTTATTTTACTCTAGTATCCACACATGAGAGAAAATATTCAACTTTTGAGTTTCTGAGTTTGGCTAAATTTACCTAGCATGATATTCTCCATTTCCATCTATTTACCTGCAAATGCTATAATTTCATCCTTTTTATGGCTTAGTAGCACTTCATTGTGTGTGTGTATGTGTGTGTGTGTGTGTGTGTGTGTGTGTGTGTGTGTGTGTGTATCTCACAATTTCTTAATCTATTTCTAAATCCAATTTCTAAAACTGGGTTGATTCCATAATTTAGCTATTGTGAATTGTACTGCTATAAATATTGAGGTGGCTGTATTGCTATAGTATGCTGATTTTGGATCTTTGGGGAAGATACCAAGGAGTGGGATAACTGGGTCTCATGGTAGCATCATCCCTAGTTTTTTGAGGAATGTCTATGCTTCTTTCCAGATTGGTTATACTAGCCAAGTGGTTGTACAGCCCTACCAACAATGTACAAGTGTTTATTTCTCCCCACAACCTTGTCAGCCATTTATTGAAAAACCCATATTTTAGAAACCTAGGTTCATAAAAGCATAGAACCAAAATACTTATTCAGTAAAATATTATTTCTGTACACAATATGTTGGCTTTTAAAAAAATTCTGGTAGAATTTTATTACAAATATTGTATTGAACCGGCATTTAATGCTTTGACTTCTTATTTATATAGATATTTGTTAAGATAATCTGATTGTGAAATCCTATGAAGATATAAATCATATAAAGATATGAATTAAAGTGTCAGTCCAAAAACTTAAAATATAAAAAGTGGAATTTTAAAAATGGATGAGTGATTAAGGAACCCAAACACATTAATGCTTTAAGTTCAATCTAGTTTCTGAAACAGCAGTGTTAACTTTAAATATCTTCATTACATTCTTATCTCTAACCTCCACTAATCTTTTTTTAAGGTACAGATAATCATTGGCTAGTAATGTTGATTCAGAAAATATTAAAGTCAAGGTATGTGTTAAGATGCCATATTTATATATAGTAACAAAAGTTAATTGGTCATATTTTGCTATAAATACACACACATACACATATTATCAGGTTCTACATAACAGACCAGGTGCTATAAAAAATCTAGGCTTTTACACAGCCTATATTTTTAGCAATTTTCATTGCAAGAAAAAAAGACTTAAAAAAGCTTTAGCGTGGGGTGCAGTGGCATGCACCTGAAGTACTAGCTACTATCTGTTGAACTCATGAGTTCAAGACCAACCCAGGTTATATAGTGAGACCTCATTTTTTAAAAAAAGAGAGAAAGATATTAACTTATTAAATTTATGTATCAACCTGATATCAAGCTATACTACAGATAGCTTGTTTTAAAGTGTAATCCTGAAAAAGATAAAGAGAAATGTTTATGTTATCACTTAAATTTCTTTCCAACTTCTCTAAGAGGATTGCTACCTCAGGAGAAAATTGGTTGAATTATGTATATTCACAAGATACTAATTTTACAAAAAAAATTGTAAATAAATAGAAAGATCAGCAGAGCAGAGGAAAGGGAACAGGGGAAGGGAGGAAAGAGAGGTAAGGGTAAGTACTGGAGACTGAATTCGAGCAAATTATATATTCCATGCATTTATAAACATGTCAGATGAATCCTAATGTTATATATAACTAATATGAACCAGAAAAAAAGAGAATGGTTGAATAAGTAGTGATATGGTAACTGAAAATCCAAGGGAAAGCAATGAAATTATTAAAAAAAAAACTCTCTCAGGTCGTTAGTACTAGAGGTGCATGCTACTGCACCCTACTCTAAAGCTCTTTTAAACCCCTTTTCTTGCATGTTTTTTCCCACTTTGGTCATTCCCTTTATAAAGGTATATAAAATTAGGACCTGGATGTTGGTTAGTGGTAAAGCACATGCCTAACATGCATAAAGCCCCAGGTTTAATCCCCACATCAAGTGTACTTAAAATTTACCTGGAAATCAGCAGAATATTTCAGGCCTACAGATAGATCTGGGCCCTCGAGCCCTAAACTATCCATAGTACATATACCACTGGTGATATGTATTTTGTGCTACTTAGTTTTTTTTCAAACCTCTCCTTCTGTGGAACAGTGGATATTTTAGATCCTGGAACATCTTTCTATATTTGCCCTTTTTATTTTAAATCTTATATAACTCCAGTCTCTTGATATCTTTCCAGATGTTCATTCTATAGTTTAGAATGTCCGTGGCTCCCACCAACTCTATATCATCCACATGCATTTCTGATGTCTTGATCTCAATGACTAATAAATATCTCATCAAATAGAAATTAATACCATGAGTAGTCCTCAACTCAATTAAAGCAACTGAGTATTGTTTTAATCATTTCATTGCTTAATAATTTTAATTTAATTATTCTTATAAGAAAATGAGGTGGATAGTCTTGATAAAATTCAGAGAAACTCTTCAAATATTTGAATAACCTAGTATTTGGATGAGATATTTTATAGAACCCTAAAGAGATAGTATCAGGATTGATAGCATAGAACTACAAGAGGATAGATTTCAACCTAGTGGGAGGAAGACATTCCTAATAGAACAGGATCGATTAAAGATGAAATGGGCTTCCTGTGTCCTAGATGTATTGAAATCTGCAGTAGATAGCTTAGTTGATGGATAGTAGGTGGATAGTTAATCCAGCTGGTGGTTTAAGGTAACTCTAATAGCAAGAATTAACATTTATGAATATATTTGTACCCTTTTCATGGATTATTTGATGAAAATGATAGGCTCGCAAACTCAATGTTAGACTATTGTTTCTCCAATTATATAAACAGGAAAATAGCAGTCTACAGAAGATAGTAGCTTGTTCAAAACTACATAACTAGTTGCCTCCAGAACTGAGATTTGAAATTTAGTGGTCTAACTCCAGTACCCATATGCATAATCAATATTTTACCCACAGAGATAGTAAACTTGTCTATAAAGGGCCACATTGTAAATACTTTTGCCTTTACAGGTCAGAGGGTCTCTTTTGCAACCACTCGAACTTGGTAATATGTATAAAACTTTGTTTATAAAAATAGGCAGTGGGTCATAGTTTAATTGACCTTCTTCTATAAATGCTGATATTCAGTGATTCTAAAATTATATATGTGAGAGATTATATTTTCCAAAATTGAATGCCACAATATCTCCTATTGCACATGCTCTTCTTCCATATGACTTTGGTAGACTCTGACTGAGATGTGGATCTAGGTCCTCTATCTTTGAGTAGACTTGTGGATTCTTAAACCTGTAGAGTACAGCATAGTGTCTGAGACTATGCCATAGGCTATGTTAAAGGCAATGCAACTTGTACTCACTTTCCGGGGCACTCATTTTTGGCACTCTGAGCTGCCATGTAAAATATCTGACTCCTTAAATTACCTAACCTTAGTTTGAAGAAGTCCAAGACCAATGAGGTTCTATGTGTAGATTCTTAGGTCAGCAGCTCAGTTGAGTTTTCAACTGATGACCACCATCAATTTTCAGATACATGAACCAAAGAGTTCTCTAAATGACTCTTGTATACAACTGTTGAGTCACCCAGGTGAGACTCCATATATTATGGTATAGAAACTTATGCTTGTTTTGAATTTGGTACCCACAGAATTCATAAATAAAATGATTGGTGCTGTAAATTTTCTGGGTACTATGTTTTGCAGCAATAGTAATCAGAACTGTATATTTTCAAATCCAAGATAAAGGATGAACTGCTAACAGATAAGCAATGTGTTTGGATCCCCTACACATTCATCTTACCAGGAGATACAGGGCTAGGACTCTCCAATTTTTATGCTCATTTCTTTCTAGGCAAACTGCCAACATATAATTTCTTTGTATTTAGATGGCCCATGTGATTTGAATGTGAATGGAAGTGATGTGTGACACTCTGGGACAAAGAAATTATGAGTGAACTTCCTTCTCTATCGTCTTCTTAATTTATTTTTTCCCTCAGAGTCTCATCAATTGGAGAAGATCAAGAGAGGACTTCAGGCCCTGGGGAAATGGTGGAATCATTAAATGGACAGAGTCTGGATTCCTGAAAAATTGCAGAGAGCAGTGCCTACTCCTTGTGTTATGGGCCAGGCTCTATGGGCAATGGCCAAACAGACTCCATTTTGCCCTGGGACTCCATGTCATATAAGAAATGCTTCTCCCATGTGAACACTCCTCCTCTGTACCTATCAATAGTTGCTTAGCTTAGCATGTTTGGTAACATAAAATGACAATTCTTATACAATGCAAAATTGTTCTCTCTTTGGTTTCCATTTTTCTTGGGCAATGTAACCCGTCAGACACTGATTGTCTAGACATTAGTAACCATTCCCTAACTTGTACTCAACTAGGGTCATTTTGACCCACTTCCCTTCTGCTGGCTTGCTGCTATGCCAACCTGGAAAGTCCCATGGGAAATACCAATGTACCCATTGCATTATTTCCCTAACTGCTCAGTTCAGCCTCTGTATCCCTGCTTGCTTACAGCTACATCAACCTGGATGTGGTTTTTGCGGTTTTTGCCTTTAAAGACCCTGAAATACTCAGACTTGGAGCTGTTCCTTGCAGAGACAGTTATGGGTCCTGTGGGGAGC